AGCGGTAGCATTGTCATTGAGACGATTAGCTCTTGACACTTGTAAAATCATGTTAATTATCATCTCTCTCTTACACTCTCCCTCACACACACAAAGCTGAGTTAACTCAAGACGGTGAAAAGGGGAAAAAGAAGGTTATAAACACTTCACCATGTTCCCTCTCAGACCCTGACTTGTTCTTGCCCAGCAATAAAACATTCATCCATCAGTCTCTATCACCATGGCATTGAGGTACAACCCCCCCACACAAATTACAGTACAGTAAAGTAAATTTGTGTGGTTCATGATGAATCATCATGTACTCTATACATCTCCACTTATAACTTTCTAGAGATCAGATGAGCCTCGTAATAATAATGATGGTGATAATGATGGCGATGACGAAAGTGGACACTGGGATACGACTACATATAAAACACTAAAATGGTGTGTGTGATGTGTGCATGATTGCGATGGCAATGAGTATCACCCCTCAGATTTTTATGTTTGCGAAAGCCTCTGTGCATGGAAATGGCCTTGCACGCCCCTGTCGGTACTGTACTGTAATCAAAATAATAACATATCCAAACCTCTAGCTTCCTATTATCATTATTACTTATCACACTTTTCTCTCTCCTCTTGTGTATGTATATATATCTTCACAAATTACAAAGAACTTTTTGGGAAATTCGCCCTAACATCTTAAACAAGGCATGAAATCATGAAAATCTCAATAAGTTCTTTCCTCATATTCAAACTTGTCGTTGTATACTGTTTACTAATTGTTATAAATATTTTTAATAATTGTATTTTTTCTTATAATTTTATAATGATTCTCTCTATTGTTAGTTTCTTTTTTCCTAAATATAAAAACTAGCTGGGATGTTTGCTTCAGTGTTAAATATATACAAGACTTTAATTCAATCTTTTTTATATATTCATATTTTTTTCTCAAGTTATTGTTATTAGTTCTAAATATATGAAAAGGATTCTCACCAATGAGGTAAATGATCAAATGGAGTTTTTTAGAAAAGCTAATACTACTTCCGGTCTTTAATATAATATCTTATTTAACTTTTATTTTAGTCCTAAATATAAGACCCTAATATAATTTCTCTATCATATTTATGTATTTTTTTCTCAAAGTAATCCTTCTAATAGTAGTAGTTTTGGCTAATACACTCTCAATTAGCAAGGATATTTTAGGAAAGACAACATCTATTTATTACAAATAACTAATTTAATATCTTTCCTTAATCTACTCAAATTAGTCAACTAGTTTTTATATTTAGGACTGGAAGTAGTATCTAATTATTATAAATAACTAACTTATTAATTTTTTTAATATTCATAAATTAATAATTATATACTCCTCCGGTCCTTATTATAAGACCCAATTTGACTTTTTATTTGGTCCTAATTATAAGACCCAATCCATTTTCTCTTTTATATTTATACATTTTTTTCCAAGACAATCCTTTTAATAATGATAGTTTTAGCCAATATACTTAATTAGCAAGGATATTTTAGGAATAACAACATTTATTTATTATAAATAACCAACTTAACTTACTTTCTTAATCTCCTCAAATAAGTCAATTGGGTCTTATAATTAGGACCGGAGGAGTAGCTTTTATATTTAGGGTGGAAAGGAGTATATTATTATTTAGGATCTCAAGCAATAGTGGTTTCTACTTCGAACGTCTTGGCCCTCTCCTCCCGATGCAAAGGGCAAAGAATAACAAGCTGGTGCTAGCTTCCAAAAGCCAAAAGCTTGCCTTTGGAATTTATACAAACACAAACCGAATCATCACCTTTAAACAACTAGTAGAGAGCCTCTGTGTATGTCTTGTTCTTGTTCGTACTTTGCCTTGGCTGGCTCCCTACTGTGCTCTGCTTTTTCACCTCTCTTTTTTGTTTTGTTTCTTCTGTTACTTTTACTTTATTTTCCTCTGTACTATTTCACCCTCCTTCGTTTCTCTTTTAACCTCTAATCAGTGAATACAACAGACAGGACTATTCATAGTATCTTCATACGTATAGTTGTTATATGGATCACAGGTCTTCTCTAAGACTGTTCTTTTTTTGGCGTTGTGGTGGAATATAATATGAACATTTATTATCAGTGATAATTATTTAAGCTATATATGGTAGCTGTGATAAAGCAAGTATATTTACTGTCCATTATTGAACTTGGGTGCAGGTCCTTCACATCTCAGAGGCAGTGTGCAAGGGATGTACATCCTACAGCTACTTGCCACCGTCCAAATTATCTTTGGATAATTTAATTATATTCTATTTTTTTAATACAATTAAATGGTCCTGCCACTATTATATTATACTCCTCCGATTCTAAATATAAGACCTATTTTATAATATAATTTATACTACAAAAGAGGTCTTATATCTAGGACAAGAGGAATATATGTTATTCGCAAAATATTAACAGGGCAACTTATTATAATTTTTATAAATGTTTATTATTACTTAATTATTTAATTTGACCTCTCAACTGAATGCAATATTACTTTAATTCCCAGATGACCCTGTAAAATTTAAGAAATTGCATACAAATTTAAACAACATGGTAGATTTATACAGTAGGGGCCTGAACTTTTATCATACAGTACATTAATTATGATTACTTTTAAGGTTGTAGTTGAAAAAATTATATATATATTTGTTTTCAAACATGTACATATGTCTGTTCATCATAAAAAATATTGAAATTTTAAAAGCAATGCTCCCGATTTGATTCTAAATATAAGAGCTAGTTGAAAGTGATTCTAGTCTAAAATATAAGACCTTTAACTATTTTGTTTTCCTAACTTATTTTGTCTCAAACTATCCTTATTAATTATATATATTAAGAAAATTTTCATCAAAAATGCAAATGATCAAAGATGCATGCATGATACTTTTGGGAAGACAACCAACATACGTTAGTTATTTTAACTTAACCAATATTTTTCAATCTTTACAAATTAGTTATATAGCGTCTATGTTAAGGACAATAGAGTACGATCTATAATCTGGCTAGATCCTATCGAATATCAAATAAAAAATTTCACCCTGCAAAAATCATATTGGCAATCCTTGCATGCATATACTTTCTGTGTAGTGAGGTTTCCAAACAAGAAAGATCTATTTGATTGTTAAAGAGTCATTGGTCTTCTCCAAAACAACATCTTCTTTCTTGCCTTTCTTGAGCGGATATGAATATATATAATATCACCAATAATCATGGATATATAAAAAACTGTTATAGATAGAATAAATAGATAAATATATATGGACATTTAACTTCTAAGATATATAGCAAGACATCATGGAATAATGAGGGAAGATATAGAGTACATGGCTGGTGATGGAACCCAAAGTCACATAATAATTGAACAACTTTTATGCAGAAGAATGGAGACAAGATACTTTCTATTCTTTCCTCTTTGCAAGGTCTTTATCATTCCTAGTCTTTTTTTTCCTTCATTATTTGACATTGAGATGAGCTTTTATTTTGCAGATATACGGTGATGTCTGTGGGCTGCAATCTGCAAAAACTTTGGGGAAGTTGTTGACAGATTTAATTATTCAGAACAATGGAGGCAGGCATCTTTTTATGATAAAAGATAAAGTTTTTTCATAAAGAAAAATAGTACGAACACTCGCACCTTCCATCTAAACAGGAATCATTGGCCTCACCAAGAAAGAGCATTAATCAATTCTACCTAAAATTTGGAAAAGAAACAGATTGCTCAATAAGCATCAAGATAAGAGTGTTTGCTTAATAATTAATTAGGTGCTCTGATTTTAAATAATTTTAAAATAATTATATGTGTTTATTGGTATAATTATAAGTGATTTTTTCCTAAGGCACAAGCATTCTCCTATTAGAAATAATCCTATTTGAAATATTGTTAGATACTCAATACGAGGGACTAATCCTTTCTGTTAAACTCAATCTGTTAGAAGGTAAGCGATTAAACAAATAAACCAAATGCCGGTGGAACTAGGCTTCTCTCTTGGGGGCCAGCGGGACACGAATGAAGAAGCATTAGGATTGGGGTGAAATTTTTTTTGGCCAACGATTGGAGTGAAATTAAGAATTATAGGTTGTCTCGAGTTGGTTGGGAATTTTAGGTGATTTTAGTGTATATTTTAATGATAAAAAATATTTTAAATTCTTTTACAAAATATTCTCTACCGAGAGTTAGAAATTAAACCAAAGTGTATGTTTTATAAATAAAAGGCTAGCAATATTTTACTCTTTTTCATATAACAATTCATTTTGAAAAGCGTTGAAAATTAATAATAAGATGCAATATCAATATGTTAGTAATTATAACAATTATTTATTATTTAACTATTCGTGTCTAATTATTTAATATATATAATTTTATTATTATATACTTTTCCGGTTCTAAATATAAGACTCTTATACTCGAAAAGAGTATAAAGGTCTTATATTTAAAACCGGAATAATATATTTTGTCATAGTTGGATGTGAGATAATTGAGATTTAAACTTTTTGTCCAATGATCTAAAATCTTTTTTATGTCATTGTCATTGTGATTATACTCCAAATTTCTCTCATTTTCTTCAGTAAAAAAAAATTTCCCTTATTTTTCTGGTCAAAATTTTTTTTTCCTCTTATTTTATTGTAATAATCAGATTATACTCCTCCGGTCCTAATTATAAGACCCAATTGACTTATTTGAGGAGATTAAGGAAGTAAGTTAAGTTGGTTATTTATAATAAATAAGTGTTGTCATTCTTAAAATATCCTTACTAATTAAATATATTGGCTTAAACTATCATTATTAGAAGGATTATCTTGGAAAAAAATGCATAAATATAAGAAACAAAATGGATTGGGTCTTATAATTAGGACCAAATAAAAAGTCAAATTGGGTCTTATAATAAGGACCGGAGGAGTACTAAAAACAAGTTCGTCAACACGTAAATATCATTTTCCGTGTGACCCGTAGAACCCCTATTGCCACGTACGTCGGTCCGGCCCGGTGTCTTCACCCTTCTCTTCAGTCGTTCCTGCTCACAGTCGCGAGACTGCGAAACTGAACGAATCAGCAAAGCAAAATGGACGAAGAGTTTTCGATGGAGGATCCTACTCAGTTACTGGAAGCAGCTTCAGATTTCACTCATTATCCTGGTACACACTCCTCACTTCTCTATGCTTCTTTATTTCCACCAAAAATATTCCTGAAACATCGTTTTGATTTGATCTCAGGAGTACTTAACGACGCCGCCGCAAGGGACTTTCTGAATCGCTTCCCTCTTCCGGCAATAATTAAGTCAGCTTCTACTTCATCTTTGCTGTGTATTTTTCTGTCGCAACTTTTATTTTTATTTTTATTTTTCAGTTGAGTTGGAAGACATCAGGATGAGGTTGATTTTCGAGGCTTGAAACTAACTTTTGCCTAGTGATAATATACAGAATAACTCGATTTAATTCAGCTGATTTTCTCATGAATTCCTTTCGCTTAGAATCAGTCATATTTTGTTTGCTACTTAATTGAGCAGGAACTCTAATTTTTGTATTTTGACATCGCGCATTCTCAGTATATAGGCAGTTCAGCTTAAAAGTCTAAGCGAACTTATTGATTTTTAACTCAACTGATCAATAATTACTTGTCTCGTTCATTAGAGACGTGAGAACTAATTTTCTTGTATAATCTTGGTGTGATCACTTCATTGTGATTCAGTATTGGAGTTATTTTCATCCGATCTTCAAATTTTTTTCTTCTCAAAATGTATTTCTCGAAGAAAATTGCATTTGATTTCATCCTTTTCCATTTACAGTGCATTACAAACCAAATTTGATGTACCTGGACTAGAAAATACTCTAACTGCTTGTTTGGAGAGGCTGTTCAAAACAAAATTTGGCGCTTCCTTGATTCCACAGTATATGGTTCGTGACTTTCTCCATCTTCCAATTAATTGTTTTATTTTTATTTGAATTACTATTGGAACCTGTCGTACTCACTCGCTTCACTGGATGTGAAAACCTAGTAGTTGTCAAAGGCAATATTCTGCATGTGGTATAAGATGAACTACTTAAGTTACACTTGATTTCTGAGTTGTATTTTCAATCCATTTATTATCTTTGAGGAAAAACTTTCTGGATTGCAGGTTCCGATCTTTCAGTCATAAACAATGTGGTCAATTATGAACTATATGGAAGATGAGAATGCTTATTTTAAAATTACAACAGTTTACTGCTCAGGGACTATGGTTGATCCAAGTCTTGTTGCCCCTTATATTTTAAAACATTCACTCTACGCTTGTGCTCTGTTTCCAACTATAAATAATTTTTCAACAAAATGTTCAAAAATTGTTTTGTAATTTTTACACACTCCATGTGGTAGCTAACATATGCATGACCGTCAAAGTTGACATATAAAGAATTGTCTAGGGTAGGAATTCACACATGTAGAAAGAAACACCCCCCCCCCCCAAAAAAAAAAAAAAGAAAAGAAAAAACCCAAAGAGCAACCAGTTTATTAGAAAAACAAATGTTTAGTGAAGACAAAAATGTGTCATGAAAATTTTCAGAACGAGTTAATAGTTGTTTTTGTTGTGGGCCCGTGCATTGCACGGAGTCTAATGTGAGCCGTATTGTTTCTGACTTAATATTCCGATAGATTTATATTAGATTATTGTTATTTATAGGGAAGAAATCGCAGTATTAGTTGGTCGTTTTGAAGCAAATCACCTTGCTTGCTTGTGATTCAATTACTATATATCATTCATTTGTTCAAGTTATCCTTATTGCTTTGCTATGCTGTTTTGTTTTCCTTGCAGCCTTTTGTACAAGTTGGTCTGCAGGCAGATTCTCAAGCAGTCAGATCCTTAGCTTGTAAAACAGTATGGGCATATGCTTAATCTACCTGACTTTATTTAAATGCTTCTTTCATGTGTTGGCTGGAGATGTACCTCCCCACAACTTCCCTCCCTTCTCTAGCAGTATTTCGTTGTTAAAAATCATTTACATTGCTTGGTTCTTTACATGTTTATCTGTTAATGTTAATTACAGTCAATCAACACTTAAAAAGCTTTGATTTAATGTATTTTTACATTTCTTCAAAGATACTATATTTATTCCTTTGTGCTGGAAGAGGGTCAACACTTCCCTGACACCTATGGTAGCTCATGTTATTGTCTTAATATTATGATTTTCCTGCCATGCTATTTCCACTGCAACCTTAAATTGACTCTCATGCGACTTCATGATTACCTTATGATGTATTTAGGGTTTACTTTACAATCTAATTATCACTAGCTTTTCCATTAACATCAATAAATATATGTCTCTCCTGCTATCTTCTCTATTTTTTGCTCCTAGTAAGCTGTGAGTTTGGCTCTCCCTATTAAACTTTGACTCTTTCCCAAGGGGATTGCTATAATAATAGAGAATATGTAGCAACTGCCTTTTGATTTTTGACAATCCCCCTTTTCTTTGGTAAGGTGAAACCAACTTAACAATTATTAAAACCCGAACTAAATCATGCATGTCTATGCATTCGTGTATGTGCATATCTGGGCCTGGGAATATGTATCTAATTGAATATCACCTCTGAATTGATCCAAAGAATTTTTTTTTTTAATAGATAAAAGTAAAGTTGATTCTTTGGTTGTTCTGCTGCCATATTTTTTTCCTCAATTTCTTTCATTAGGCAAGTTGTCAAAATACTCTGTCCCCTGTTTTTAATGAAGAACCCTCATTCTCTGATCTTTAGCATTTCCTATAAAAGTTTTTAACCTCGTCTGTTTGTTACAATGGAAGTTAATACATATTTTGCTTCCATGACTTTTTCGCAACTTGTTCTGCTGTTTTTGAAGTTACTCTCTGGCTCTCTTCTTGGTTTTTGTTAGTTTATATCCCTGTAGCTTTCCTCATTTCTTTCCTTAATACTTCTTGGTGTTTCTCCTAATTGAAGAGGACAGTTATATGGCTGACTAGCTATTCTTTTGTACCTAACATTAACTTACATTATGTGCTGTTCAGGTCGTATTAAGTTCATGTAAGATTGTTTTGTTTTGAATTTGTTCATACAAAAGTACTTCTAATTCAACTGGAGGAGCTTCTTGCATTCTCTTACGTTTAAAAAATAAATAAAAAAAATAAAAACCTTGTAGGTCACATGCCTTCTGGAGGAAGCTGACAATGATACTGATGTTGCTGCTCGTCTAATTACAGAGTACAATGTATATCCTCTCTTGCTTGATTGCCTTGTGAATGGGTAAGAAGGACAAATACCTTTGGTCTTGTGGCATAGTATGGAATAATGTATTATTAAACCTCACATACAATAAATATTTGATGTGTATCTATTTTCCCAAGCAGCAATGAGCAAGTGGCAGCTGCTGCAATGGATGCAATAAAGAAGTTAGCTGATTCTCCTAAGGGCATGGTAAGAAAGCACATTATTTCACCATTCGTTTAAATCCTCTTTGCCTTTATGACAAACGGAAATATGCTTTAACCATGCTTATCATGGTTGACGATACTTGCGTAGGAAATCATCTTTCCATCTGAAAGGGAAGGTGCTACAGACCTCAGGACTTTAGCACTGCAGTGTTCGTCACTGGTATGATAGCACATTTGTCATTGGGGAATTTCACATATGTTATATTTCTTTCTTGTCATAAATTCATGTGGATGCCATTATGTTGGGAAGCATTATTTACATTGATTTTAAATATAATGACATTGCTACGACTGTTGGCCCACCAGTTACCTGAGAGAAAAACACGCTGATCTGTTGTTTTGGACATGGGATTAATTTTTGAAGAAGTGTGTAAAATTTGGAAATTTTTTATTTATCATGAAATGCTTCGCCTTGAAGGCGTGTCTTGATTGCATCCCCCATTTTTTCTAACTTCAGCTGTGATATAATTTCACGTATTTTTTCACAATAACAAAGCGACATCTATTGGTGGATTTTCTTAATTAAAAAAAAAATCATGGATGGTGTTTAGTAGAAGTCTTAATCCTAAACTTTAATCTGTTGACTTATTATTCAAGTAAATGGACAATTAATTGTCTAAATATTAAGCATGTCTCAGTTGTAGCTAATATTTCTTATACTGAGAACTTGGTTTGAATAAGCAATGTACACAGGAAATAACCTTTTACAATAACCCTGCTGACATAGGAGATGTCAGGAAAAGCCTTATTATGAGCTAATAGCTAATAGTATATCTTATGTTAGGATTTAGTGTTATCATTCTTAAGCAAAACTTTTGATTAGAGCATTGTGGGTATAATGTAGTGATTCAGTGATAATATCAGAAGTACTGAATTCCATTGCGATATGTGCCAAAAATTGTTAAATTTCATGGCTAAAGAATGCGGAAGCTGATATTAAGTTCAACTGATTTTGTAATTTTTTGTTCCCATGTATGACGTGGACATAAGTTACTCATGATTATCATTCTGATTCAGGGACGGGTTCGTGTGATGGCTTTAGTGGTGAAGCTTTTTTCTGTATCTAGATCTGCTGCATCAACCATTTACAATTTAAATCTTCTTAATTTGTTGGAGGCAGAAATCACAAATGCAGATGATACTCTTGTAACCTTAAGTGTTTTGGAGCTTCTATATGAGGTTGCTATATGCTCTCTCTCTCTCTCTATCTCTTTCTGTGTGTGTGTGTGTGTGTGTGTGAAGACACTCAAATACGTATTGGATTCCTTGACTTGAAATACGTAAAACTACAACATTGCTTATGAAGACAATTTTTACTGGCTTAAAGATAATTGATTTGATTTGATATGATTTTTTTTTTTTTTAAAGAACATTTCTTTGGAGGTCTTAACTTAGATATAATGTTTAAACTATTAGGTGGTTGTTTCTTTTCTTCTTTCTTTTTTTAATTTTAGGCTGCTCTTGGGCCCATGTACACAGAATCTAAGTGACTCACATTGTCATAATCTGGCTTCCTATATATTTTATGTGTATTCATTGACGATTGATTTGTGATTAGTTAGCATATCCTATTATTTGAAAAGTGGATTTAATAATAAGTTAATTATTCTGAACTTTTGGGACAGCATAAATGTTAAAATTTGAGGTTCGGGGTTTACGGCTACTATTACTGGTATTTTCGAGTTTTCCTTTATTTGGAGTGGTTTTGGTTTCAGTTTCTTATCTGATGCCTGGAGATATGCTAAAGATTTGGCTATCTTACTTCCCTCATATATATATGTCTTAATTTCTTTTCTTGTCCCTCTCCCTTTTACTCATCTATTCTCTTGATACTCTTCAAGTCTTGAACCAGAATACTCCTGTTTGATTTAGCTGTTAAAGACTTTTATTGATTGGATTTGTGCTTGTCAGTGAATATGTGGAAAAATAAAAGTGGGGAGGGCCCATGGGGGAGGTTCTTTACTGCTGATGTAAAACCCTTCCCGAATTTTTGAATCTTTTTTGGAGCTTCGAGGGACTATTTTATTTACGTTTATTAAGAATATATTTGGATAAGTATCATTATCATCCTAAACTCTCATTTGCTTGCATCCTTTTTTTCCTTTGAAATTTTGTTTTGTATTCAATTCTGAGCATCTCTTGAGTAATTGGAGATTGCCTCTTCACATTTAAAATCCCTAAAGTTTAGTTTTGCTTAACTATTTTTAACAATTTGACAAATGACACTGAAAAGTGATTTCCCTAACCTCAAGCAGTTTCTCTCATGCCCTTTGTGGAGATGGTAGGTTCCCAGAATAACTGATTATGCAATGAATTCCTTCAAATCAGTTCTTGTAAATTCCCCCCCCCCCCCCCTAAAGATAGAGAAACAAAAACGCACAATGCTAGACACACATCATATATGTGGGATCGAAGAACTTTACATTTGCAATTAGCTTTAGCCTTTTTCCCTAATTTGTAAATTTAATTTTTCATGTGCATTTATAAGTTCTCATTTTATATTGAAATGAAGTTAGCAGAGATCGAGCATAGTACTGAGTTCTTCTCAAAGACTAACCTCCTCCAACTTCTTAGTTCTATAATTAGGTACTCCAATATTTTCTGCCCAATGGTTTCTGTAAATCTACTGGATGAGTGGTGATTTAATGATTTTTTTTTTTTCTCATGAGGTTAGCAACAATTCCATGGAGGCCATTTTAAGATCTAGATCAGTGATGATAATTGGAAGGCTTCTGTCCAAGGAAATTACGTACTCCTTCATAGATGAATCATGTAAGACTCACTTTTATTCCTGGAGTTATTGCTACCCCCCTTTGAGGTGAAAGATATATAGCCATCTGCTTCCCTGATCTTCAACCAGACAATTTCTTTACTCTATCTGTATTCGAATATGAGTATCTACTTTAGTTCACTGTAGATTAGAGATTGTTACCATGACCTGTAATTTGAATAATTGTGCTCCAAATATAGTTTCTCTCCTTGCTGCTTTTTTGTGCTTTTTCTAATGTCCAAGTACTTCATATTTTAACTGCAGTTTACTAATTATTCAAGGACTAGAAACTTTTCATTAATACATACTCCTTGTGCTATCAATCACAGGTCTTAGAACTGTTATTTCTTCTATTGATGGAAGGCTCAAGTCGTTAGAAAGTTCTGATAGAGATGAATGTGAAACTGCACTTGAAGCATTGGGTTATATCGGAATGTGTAAGCATGTATTATCTGTTGTTCGGTACAGATTTGCACCCTTTCAATGTGGTAAAATAGTTTTGGTTAATTTGTTATCTTGGTCAACCTTGGAAATTGATTACCTCCCATCTGTTCTAGAATTCCAATTGCTTATTTTTGGTGGTGAGTTGCATAAATATCTCTTCAATAAGAATTACAGTGTGACGAAGCGTGCCAAGGCATTCCTAATTGACTTAACTTGTGTGGATAAAAACCCGTCTTTGAAAAGCTGGCATTAAATTCAAACAAAATGCACTTACCCAAGCTAACAATTCTCTCTTCCAGAGGCCTCGCGGACATGATTGACTCAAGAAAAAAAGAACCTTGTAATTCTTCCTTTGCTTAAAACTCCAAAATAAAAATTGAGGCTTGGGAATGCTTCAAAATCCAATGCTTCTGAAAGTGATAGAATCTCTAGGTATTCCAAACTATTTCAGAAAGAAGAGATGGTCTCCAATGCACATTTGCCCGTTTAGGAGAGTTGATTTATGCATCTAATGAAACTCATCCCTTCTTGAAGATTTTCCTGAGATTTAAGCTTGACAGTTGCTCTGCTTATCTGCATCATTGAGTTTTTTGTTTTCCTTAAAGCCTCTTATTTTTCAAGTTCTGTGAATTTGTATGTGAGATTTTGTGGTTATTGTAGCTATCCCTGGGGCTGCATTACTGCTCTCTGGTTCATCGCCTGTTGCAAGGCATGTTATTCATGCTGCTTTTGACCGACAAGGACCAAAAGGGCATGGTAAACAGTTGGTTAGTGAACTCGCTGATTCCCTTTCGTTTTGTATTTTTCAGTGAATATGGAATGTATGTCATGTTTGAATCACTTAAGAATGTCAAGAAGCAAATAGCCCCCAAGGCCAAACCTGTGCCTGTAGTGTGTGGATACTGGATTCCATTATTCAGTGGTTCTCACAATCAAATAGTTTCCCCGCACATTCAGAGATACATTAAAAAGATCCAAATGGGATTTATTCCTAGCTGGTTTTTGTAATCATCACCTATTATTATTAAAATGCTGATCTCCAGTTTGCAAGGAGTAAGAACTGATAACTGGACACCTCTAGGGATTTATTTTAGGAACGTTTTAAGAGAAAAGGCATTAGTTTTTACTCGAAAGCAATGGCTGTTTTTAAGATAATTGATAAAGCTGGAATTTCCAGGGTCTTACATTTAAGACCGGAAAAGTAATTTGGAAGATGTATTAGTCATGCTGCGTCTCTTTCAAACCTAGCTATGCTTCTGATTTTTTTTTTTGGGGGGGGGGTGTTGGGGGTTTAATTGGCAATTGCAGGCTGCTTTGCATGCTCTAGGAAACATCTGTGGAGAAACTCGGTCTGAAAATAACATCATACTCAATTCTGAGGCAGAAGAAAACTTGCGACGTTTAGTTTATGAAGTAGCATCCAGGAGCTTAAAGTTTACACCATCGGTATTTTTTCTAATGCATTTGTAGCTTCAAAACTTCAATTCTTCTTACTGGTGCATTAAATCAGCTGCATGTTGATTTGACCTTCATTATAACTTTCTGTGATTTGAATATTAACAGAAAAAGTATTATACTCCTCTGCACTTTTTTCTTGCCACATTTCTTTTCAAGTAAATGAAATAAGGCAATTCATTATCAGTGCATGATGTACTTTCCTTCTTTCCATAATATCGCGATTTAGAAGAATAATAGAGGGTTATAAGATTCATTCAGCTGGCTTATATGTCTGTCACTTGTTTGTCGCTCAGTTTTTCTGGTAATTGAGATTTAGCTGATAGTGTTCATGTTTTATGTAGGGTCTTTTCCTATCAGTCCTGCAGCAGGATTCAGAAATCCGATTGGCGGTGAGACATTCATGGGAACTTTTCTATTGCAAAGTTTTGTAAATGATGACACCGGGGGAAAAAGAAAAAGTATTTAAGGTTTCACTTGGGATAACACTAATGGATTTTCTCCTGTATTGATTTAGAGTTTAGAAGTTGGTCTCTGAATTTCAAAGTTTGATATTGATGTATCCCTATTTTCTAGCCAAACTCATTAGCCAATTCCTGCTATAGTTCAGAAGTGGATCTGTTAGAAGTATTTCTACAATGATATGTTAGGCATCCATAAAGGCAGGTACTCAACATTCAAGGATGAAGCATTTAGACTAGAACATCTTCACAAATTCCATGATTTTCTAGTGATGAGAAGCAGTGGTGCTAACATGAAACTTGCTACTTGGCGCTACAGAATTATCATAAAATTGTGATTTGGCATTTTTGTAATGTATTGTCAGGGCTACAGAATGATAAGTGGATTAGTTGCTCGATCATGGTGTTTGATGGAGATCTGCTCAAAACAAGAGATAATACAGATGGTGACTGACCCAAGTACTGAAACCACAAAAATAGGTCTGTTTCCAGTTTGGACAGTTGTAGCTCTTGTTACAATGCATTTTCATATCTGGTAATTCATATAATTGTAGGTATTTAAAAGATTCCATGGGAGCCAACTTTAGCAATAACTGTCATACTAAACCTCATTTATATGTTTCAATTATAATGATAACCACCCTGAATATTTTGTTCTTCCTTCAACTTGTGTTAATAATTGACTTCCAAATTCTATTTGGGAAGAAACGATAAAGTAGAAGGAAGGAAAACTAAGAAAGATCAAGATAGAATTTAAAAATATTACAACAAAGTAATTAAGAAAAAATTACTCTAGTTGGCCTTAAAAAATGCCCAAACCTGGCCTGAACCATTTAGCATGCTGGTTTCGCTGGTTCAGGTCTGGTATCAGAGTCTCTACTCTCTATAATCAAACAAGATACTTTGTCCATACTCTCAATTATGAAAATTAAAATTTCAGACCTAGGCATGATGGTGTTTTGTTCATAGTTCAAACTTATTAGACTTTTATTGGGAGTGGCTTAAAAATTATTCTAAGTTAATGAACCTTCACTTGCATTTTTTAGCTTTTGAGCTAAACAGAGTTTTCCCATGGCAAGCCTGCCTTTGGCAATGTAACTAATCTGCCTCTTGTGACGGGTATAACTAACCCTGCGTTGGGCAATGTAACAAGTTTTTTGAACAAAAACATGCCGTACCATGTGATTGTGGGATTGGCTATAGTTATTCTTGAGATGTGAAAAATTAAATAATAATTTCTGATAGAATATTAGGTAAGCAATTCTTTTATGTATACTCTTTTTTTTGGCCTGAATTGTTTTATGTATACTGAACCCCGTTGTTGGGGACGCTACTACTACATATAGGAGAGTTCTCTTTTCTCCCACATGATACATCTTAAAATTAATGGATCATGCGATGAAGGAGAAGTCAAGCAAAAATCAATAGGGGCTAATATAATAGTAAATTAATCAATGGTATTACTAAGGCTTAAAATTGATGTTTGCCTGTTATGTTTCTCCTGTCTTGGTATTAGGTTTTCCTCATTTTCACACATGTGTACGTGTGTGTATGATTTTGGCAGCTTCCTACTACAATTTTTTTTTTTTTTCCCCTTTCATCATATCATTAAGACAACTGAGAACTTCAGGCATGGAAGCTAGATATAACTGCTGCAAGGCTATACACAAAGCACTGATGCAGTCAAGTAAACTATCCGTTGATCCTGCTCTAGCAGCAATAGATGCAAAGGTTAGAAACTAAATCTTCTTCGTTACCACTACTGTCTGGGCATGTTTTGGTGGGGGATCAACTTGGATGTGGCCTTTTATAGGGTTCATATTCCAGGCAGATCCCCAGCCACTATATGAGCTTCTAAAGTTTGTGTTGTTTTTTCGAGTTTTGAAAAAATAAAGAACGATTATGTAACGCACATGTGATATGCCAAAAGAAGATCATAAATCTTGACCTAACTAAACCAACTCAATCGGCCATATCTTGTCATACGCAGCTGCAGGAAGCTATTGGAATGGGTCCATATCTTGGTAAAAGGCATGCGGAAGCTCAACCTGTTGTGATGACGGCTGAGAGATTCTAATTTATGCAAAAGGTGTGGTCATTGCATGTGTTGCCTTGAGCAAATATATGCAATGGTATCGTACTAAAGCCTTAGTGCTAGAAAGTGGGTCCAGTAATGTTGGAACTGAAGACAATGTTGGCACCATGTCATTATCAGATGTTTCAGAGTAATTATTTCCCTATATACGGGTAAAACGCTAGATATGCATGAATGGCTTTGATCTGTGATAGGGATTAAAAAAACTATTTTATTAGATGTTTCAGAGTAATTATCATTCTGCACAAGTCCTTATACCTTTTTTCGCTTGAGGATTGGATTTATCTTTTTTGAATGGAAGGTGATTCATTCATTCAAAGAGAATTATAGAAGAGTCCTTTCAGAATGCAAGTTTCTTCCATCCTCCACCTTCAAATATCAAAGGGGAGGATGATTAAAGATGCAGCTGTAATCAGATGTAACTTGTGCACTTTGCCAATCTTTTAGCAGGATTTATCCTTTTTAATAGGGACTCGGGATTTTTAATCCCCTGAGGACCTGAGACAAAAATGGGTTGATGTCGTAGGTAGGCCTTGTGGGAACAAACCACTGGATTATTTTGGGGATCGTTAAAATTAGAATAAGCCTGAAGTTAGAACTATTCTTGTGCAAAGGTATTGGTATGGATAACGGCAATCTATTACCGATTTCAAATGGAGAAATTGTTTAGGCTTCGGTATTGGTCGCTTCTAGGCCCTCTTATTCTTTTAGAAGATGCCATGGCACTTAAGCCACCTTTCTTTGTCCTTTTCAGGCTCTAGTGCCTCTGATGTATGGAACCGCTTCCTTTAAAAAAAAAAAAACAAAAAAACAAAAACAAAGAAAGGAAGGAAGAATAGGAGAGTTTTATTGTTATGTTAATATTTCTTTTTCATTTGCGTACTTCTTTAAAAGAGAAAAAATCTTTTCCCGTAAAACAATTATTTTATTTATTTGTTCAAGTAACGTGAGCTCTACCTCTTAAGAGGGATTTTGATCATTCTTTCTTAATTGGCAAGATAAATATTTTAGGAAAGGAGGGAAAATTTTTTAACATTCCCCCCTCACATGCCTCCTGTCTGAAATTGAGGGAATTTTGGAGGAAAGGGTAATATTTTGGTTTGTATTGGCTAATATATTCATATTATTTTTTAATAATCTCATGTTATCCTTTGTCGTTGAATTGTATGTGATTTGGTATGTTTGTGGATTCAATCGTGCCTCTCTTCCTCCATTTTCATGCCATCAAATATAAAAAAAAAGTTGCTATCAAATATATTTTAATTTTCAAATGCAAATCAAGCACTTAACAAAAACATACAAATAAGTCATCTATGCCATCTTTAAAAAAGTTATTTGGTTACTCATATCAACAACGCAGAGGAAAATGGAAGTTGAAAAAAAACATACTCAAATTAAACATATTTATTTCATTAGACCAAATTTTGGATATAAATACAATTATAATTATTGATATATATTAGCTATTAATTGTGTATTATTATATTTATTTAATTTTGCTAATTATAAAAAGTTAATTCTCATATATTAAATGTTATTTATAATTATATTTTATTAATTACATTATAAAGTTTGTAAAAATCAATGTAAATAATATAAGGATAAAGTTGTCCATACAAAAATATTGCCTCCCCTTCTTTCCTAAACTAAACAAGATGACATTAAAATTCCTTCTTTACCCTCGTATTAATCCAAACAAGATAATATTAAAATTCGTCCTCTTCTTTTCATTTCCTTTTCCTCCATTAAAATTTCTCTCCTCCCGTCTCTCTATTGAGCCAAAAATACCCTCATGCAAACATGAGTTGATGTGTGTGTGGTTGTTATTTAGGCCTAGTAAAAAAATTTAGAAAGATATGTGCTTGTGGAGACTATTTTCTCTGATTTAAGTTTAGAGGGAAGTCACCATTGTGTGTGCATGTATGATGTTGGCATGTCAACTTGTTCAAAGAGCGTTTATGATCTATTTGGAGTAACTTATAAATAGTTTTTTAACGTGATTAATGGAATACAAGTTAAATATGCAAGAAGGATTTTGTTTCAACTTATGTGAAATATGTTTATAAATGTTTTTTTGTCACTATCACAAAGATCGAAAGAAAAAATAAAGGACTTCACTTAGGGCCTGTTTGGTTTGAAGGGAGGGAAGGGGAGGGAGGGGAGGGAAGGGTAGGGAAGGGGAGGGGAGGTTTTATCCTCACCTTGTTGGTTTGATTAAAAAGGAGGGGAGGGGAGGGTATTTAATGATCCCTTGTTTGGTTTAAGGAGGGGAGGGGAGGGATAGTAATAATCAATTTACCATTTTATCCTTACATATTAGTTTATGTTTTTTATTGATATATTATATAAATTAATTTACATCTGAATTTAAATTATATAATTTAATAAAAATTCAGTCTTATCATGTTAATATGTGTATTAAAAAATTGGTATAGTAATTTTTTATTCTAATTAATATAATAATATATTTAAAATAATCAAATTAACAAATTTTATATGCTCTAAGAAAAATGAAATTTATTTTCTTTAGGCTATCTTTTTTTCCAGCTTTAAAATATATTTAATAAATAATATATTTATAAAAAACAATTAATTTTATATATTATAATTTTTTATTTTTAAATAATTTTTATAATATATTTTTAATTATAATAATGTATAATGTCCCTTCCCCTCCCCCATTTTGGCTCCCCTCCAAATTGGGGGTTTTTGGAGGGGAGCTAAAATTTTGGACTATTATGCCCTTATGGTTTTTTTAATATTCCACTTCTACCCATAAAATATATTATTATAATATTTATTTCAAATAAAAAATATATATCCTAAGTAAAAAATAAAAAAATATACATTATTATAATTAAAAATATATTATAAAAATTATTTAAAAATAAAAAATTATTTAAATAAAAAATTATAATATATAAAATTAATTGTTTTTTATAAATATATTATTTATTAAATATATTTTAAAGCTGGAAAAAAAGATAGCCTAAAGAAAATAAAATTTCATTTTTCTTAGAGCATATAAAAGTTGTTAATTTGATTATTTTAAATATATTATTATATTAATTAGAATAAAAAATTACTATACCAATTTTTTAATACACATATTAACATAATAAGACTGAATTTTTATTAAATTATATAATTTAAATTAAGATGTAAATTAATTTATATAATATATCAATAAAAAACATAAACTAATATGTAAGGGTAAAATGGTAAATTGATTATTACTATCCCTCCCCTCCCCTCCTTGAACCAAACAAGGGATCATTAAATATTCTCCTCTCCCTTCCTTTTTAATCAAACCAAACAAGGTGAGGATAAAACCTCCCCTCCCCTCCCCTTCTCTCCCCTCAAACCAAACAGGCCCTAAGGGGCCACTGGGGAAAGAGAATCCAAATATGAGGTTATTCAAATCGTAGAGCTTATATGGACATATATTGGTGCAATTTTCAGATTTCCATCGAGGAGATTTAGATAATTTATTGAAGATATGAGATTTTCTCTGGCAACAAAGTGACTTTTTGAAACGACTTTTGAGTCCGCAAATTTTGGTGGTCAAGTGATTGGTGATTTCTTTGTTAAATAAGATTTTTTGCAATGGCAACAAACAGACATCAAAGCTATTCGTTGATAGTCATGTTAGGATAAACTTGTAATGGGTGGTCATCAGAAATTCATGTACAAAAATAATTGAGTCAATAAAGTTACTTTGGTCTCTGAAAAAGATAAGAAATTCGATAAACAGGACTGAAAAATGATTCAGATTACCAAGAGAAGTTGTTTTAGAGGAATCATAATGTGTGTCCACCCAAAAACATAATAAATTATTAATCAAATAAATAGAGTGATTGAGAATGAGCCTATTATAGGTGATTGTGAGCTCAGAAAGCCACTTCATCTAGGTTTGCGTGAATTTATGTATCAAGAAAAAGAGTTGCACTAATTAAAAATATATTATATGAAGATTTTCTAAGGGGAAATTATAACGATTATTCAAGAAAAAATTACTAAAAAATTCTAATAACAATTTAAACAGTAAAAAATGACAATTTTTGAAACTTGTTTATAATTATTTTTTTTAGACTTTGTTGTAATTCTTTTTTTTTAAACATATTTTAGATATCCTTATACAATGAATTTTAGAATAGAAAATGTTTGTGCAGTTGGTGATGAGCTGTCATTCTCACTATTTTTTATTTATTTGTTGTTTGTTTGTGTGAGAGTGAGAGAGAGAGAGAGCCCAGTTTGTTTGATGATGAGCATTCACATGCATGCCAGAATGAGTCCGCCTCTTGACGAAATCCAAGGCCCCCCCTTCTCGTGTTCTGGGAGGGCGGCCCGGGGCGGCTACTCGTGTCTCCTTGCGGGGGACGTGTCCACATCTCATTCTCATCCACCCCCATCCATTCTCATCCGTCCGATCCACCGAGTGAGCCTGCGAGAGTGCCCGTCCTTTTTCTTTAATTAAAATTTTAAAAAAAAAAACTGAAGAAAAATGCCCAATTAAAATTTAATTGTACATAAATATGTTGAACTTGTTGAAAGAGTCGCGTGAAATCAATTTTCAGTTAAGCATAAAATAAAAATATTTGTATATAACCAAAAATATTGTGCTCCTACCTTTAAAAATGATATCTAGTTAAGAATATGGGTTTATATGAGATATTTTCACTATGTTTCCTCAAGACACAAAAAATTTTAAATCTTATTAATTCTATCTTTAAATTTAACAACTCTCTAATTTTAAATCAGTCTTATATTAAAAATTAAAAGATTATATTCATATAAAAAATAATAATATGATATGAATAAATAGAATGAAAAAAACTTGTCTTTGTTTCGCTTTTACTTTTTGTGTTCAAAATAATGCCGACTTCACACGCAACCTCTAGTGTTGCCGACAAATGTCGGAACCTGAAACTTGGTACCCACACACCTTAACTGCCGTCACGCTAACTCCCATGTTCCGTTTCATACAGCATCTAGTCAGAGGCCGACACGTCATAACCGCCGTTAACGGATGACGCAGCCTTTTGAGGGGGCCACGTGTTGACGCGACAGCGCGGCTACGTGGATTCCCTCCTCCTCCTCCTCTTCCTTCCGCGCAATTACTCCCTGTGGGCCCCACTGGGTGGGCTGGGGCGGCGCGCGGGCTTTCATGTGATACTCTCAATATTAACATCAATATATTAATATATTATTATTATTATTATTATCTGTGTGGGTGTGTGGGGGAAAGCAAAAGCGGTCAAATCCCTCGTTGACTGACTCAGCGGAATATTTCATCATCGTCCCGCTTCCTTTGAGATTGGATTGGATTTTAGAGAGAGAGAGAGAGAGAGAGAGAGGGGTCCTTGGCACGTGTGTGTGTGAGCCCACACGCATTTCTGATGGACCACGCGTTTCCCAGTACGTGGCGCCTTGCCATTTTTCTTCTTCCCAATTCACATCATCTTATCATATCACCTTCCAATAACTCTTCCCTCCTTCACATCATCTTTTTCCTTTTTGGTGTTGTCCGGCTCCTCAAAATAGGGTATAATGGAAAATGGCATCCATTCTCTTAAAAGAAATTTTCAGGAGAAAAATTATGTGATTTATATCCCAAAAATTCACTAACATTAGAGAGTTTTATATAGCTCAAAAGCAATTACAATTTTATTTACAAAATATGAACTCTCTTTTTTTAAAAAATTTGAATATGAACTCAAGTTTACTATTCTCTTGGTATTAAGAAAATTTATGGTCATGACATATTAGAAAAATTAGTTGGCCAGTTCAAGAAAAGAAATTTATGCATGATGATTATCTATTTTATACTCCTTCCGTTCCTTATTATAGGAGACATTTGATGTTTATGGCATGTTTCTATATATAAAAGACACTTAAAAGTTGTCTCTACTTTTTTGTGTTGATTTCCTATTTTACCCATATTTATTATCTCCAACCCACACTCTCTCTCCCTTCCACTTCTCTTTCTTTCAATAATTTAATTGCTCTCTCTCCTTATTAATAAGGGCATTTTTGGAAAAAAAATTATATTTTTCACACATTGATTGTTCTTAACTAATTTTAACTGTTTTTTTTATCAACGTATTTCGGTTATTTGTCTTTTATAATAAAGAACAGAGGGAGTACTTTTTTAATCTTATTTGTAAGCAGGCACATAGTAAAGACTTAAATATATGCAAGAAAAGACAACAAAATATGATTACTGATTTATTATAATATTTTCCCGTAGGTATAATTTTGTTGTGTTGGTTAAAATTAGAAGGGTGACCAAATAGAATGAAAGTAAAGGCCGTACATACGTGGCAGGAAATGATTGGAGAGCAGTATCCTCCGCAAGTGCTTCAGCTTGGAGCATCAAGCGCCCAAAAGGAGCGTAGCTTTTTCCTCGCACGCACACGCTATCCCTTCTCTGTCTCCAATCTTTCACTATAAAATGACCCTACCCCCCATCCGGTTTCCTCAGACATTGCGTCTCCTTCCTCTGAAGCCTAACCACTCTCTCTCCCCCCGTCTTCTCTCTCCTCAAAAAGTTCTCTCCGTTTCAAACCCTTCAAAGTCTTGAACCAAGAACATGGCTCCTAGGGATGGACCCGCCGCTCTCGCCGCCTCCAATCCGGCCCACACTGCCAAGGAGATCCGATACAGAGGTGTTCGCAAGAGGCCGTGGGGGCGTTACGCCGCTGAGATTCGTGATCCCGGCAAGAAAACCCGTGTTTGGCTTGGCACTTTTGATACGGCGGAAGAGGCGGCGCGTGCCTACGACGCGGCGGCTAGGGAGTTCCGTGGCGCGAAGGCCAAGACTAATTTCCCGTGTCCGTCTGAACTTCCGATGAACAACTTCAGTCGCAGCCCTAGCCAGAGCAGCACGCTTGAATCGTCATCGCCGCCGCCGCCGCCAGTTGCTCCTCCACCGCTGGAACTCTCCCTTGGGACGTACACTTCCGGCGGTGCTTTGGGGTTCCCGGTCATTCCTGTAGCTCGCCCGGTGATGTTTTTTGACGCGTTTGCTCGGGCGGACAGCATGATGGCAGCTGCCGGCCGTCGTGAGATGTGCGGCTTTGAACGGCCTTTTCTGGAGTTCCGCCGCTCCGCCGGCGATGGCGGTGCCCACAGTGACTCTGATTCGTCCTCCGTGGTGGACTACGAGCGTGGCTCGCCTCGCACAGTCTTAGATCTTGACCTCAACGTTCCTCCTCCGGCGGAGGTTGCCTGATCTGGCTGTGTTTTGAAGATCCTCCGGCCAAGATCCGACGTTTTTTATATATCTACTTCATATTTTTTTTCCTAGTGATTTTAGAAAAAAGGAAAGGAAAAAAAAAAAAACAGTCTTTCGAAGATGTAGACAGCTGGGAGAGAAAGTAGCTGACATGCTTAGGATTTGATGACGACGATAATATCCGCACGTTGTGTAAATAGATGATAACAGAATCCCTTTTTGCAGCTTGTGTGAGAACTTGACAAGAGTTTCTCTCATATGGTTGTTTCTGAATTTACTATTCATCTTTATATATAATGGAAATCAATCGATCTCTTTTTTGTTCCCAGATTTCCCTTCATTTTCTCGCTTCCTTCCTTAAGATTCAGTACTGTTTAGTTTAATTTTGTGTTTCCTGAGAGATGAACTCAGAAAGAATTGTTCTCATTTGAAGCAGCTCCAAGCGTCAAAGATCGCTCATCATTACGGCCGTTGATTCAATTGTGCCCGTACATTTTGCCATTAACCAAACAGATCCGAACATGGTTGAAACAACTTCTGAAATTTAATTTGTTGAGATCTGACGATTTTGATCAGCCAGGCCTAAAGGCGTTTCTTTGATGCCGACTCTTTAATGAGCGGATGAGCGAGAGAAGAGAAACAGAGAATTTATGTGATGGCTGTTATCCAAAACCAAATATTTTTTTTCCCAATTAAATAATTACTATGTTGATGAATGGAGGAATCTTTCAGGAGGAGGACCAAAGTCGGGTGTGAACGGGTATTCAATGGCATTGACCAAGCGGAAACAAAACGGTGCCGTGTCATCGTATGAGGATGAATAATTGCCTCGTGATTCGCGTTATTATTGTCGTATTTGAGGGGGCGGATCTGAACGCCAGATAACGCGGGCAGACAATGAAACGACGGTAGGTCCAATCACTGTTTGAATTAGGATGATTAATGAAATTCAATAATAATTATGTTTAATTAAGGGGCCTTGATTAGTTATTATTAGGGGAAAAGTGTGATTGGGGGCGAGGCGGCAGGGGCGGCGAAAACGGTACGTACAAGGTGGTAAGACCGAATCAGAAGCGAGCGTGTCTGAAGGTGGGCCCCACTCGAGAGCATTCCGTGTGGACTGTGTTTCTGTCGGCGTTGATGTTGTCTTCACGTGATGTTTCAGTGCCTCACTTCCCATTACCATTAAAAAAAAAAAAAAATCATATTTATTGATTTCTTTATTTGTTCTATTTTATTATTTCCTGAAATTCCTCGTTCCTCTCCGCCAACTGCCTAACTTAACTCGGACGAAACTCCAATTTTTATTTTTGGTAGAAGGAACTCCAATTTTTAATGCTAGTGGATCCGATAATATATCCCACGCTTCGCGATTCGTAGTACTCTTCTTTCAGTTCTAAATATGAGAGTGCATTTTAGTTTTTATTTGTCGTATAAAAGTAATATAAATAAAAAATAAAAAAAGCAAAGATTGTAGAGGGGGACACATGTGAATACTATGGGGCGGAGTGGGGCCCAGGATAAATGGTGTTGAAATTACGTGGAAACCATGCAAAAAGCAAAAGAAAAGGGAGAGAAGGCTGGGTCGTAAGGGGGAAGAAAGAAACGCGGCGGCCGCCTGGGTGGGACCCAGTGGGGGGGCATTTATTTATTGTGGAGCGAACACGTATACTACGTACGAAGTGCCTTTTGAATATTTTTGGGTGTGATGAAGGGGGAAGGGGGCAGACATTTGTGGTGATGCTGGTGGGGCCACGTGGGTAATGAGTACGGTTGGAAGAAGCAGCGGCTAGTGCGCAGCTCCAGCTGGGAACGTGTCTGTCGGATGAACAACCAACAATTATGGCGGCGCGTTCCCTCCCCATTAATTGCCTCTGCGTGGCGCGTGCTTCTTCGTCCTCCTTTCTTTACGCCCCCGCGCCCATTTCATTCATTAGGTGCGGTTTAACCTTTTATTTTTTCCCGCATAGTTAAATACTCGCGCACGCTAACATGCACTATCAACATACCACTGTATTTTTTTTTTAAATTGTTCCTGTAGGAAAAAAATGGTGGTCTTTTATATGTTTTTAAGATTTTATTTTAAATTCTATCTCTATTAATTAAGAGAAACAAATATAGAGGTAAAGAAGAAGAAAATGGGTAAAAACAATACTAACTACTCCTTCTTGTTCTATATATAAACTTTAAATAACAGAATCATGTTTAATGATCTAGTAGTTAAAATTATTTAAAAATAATAAATAAGTCATAAATATTTTTTTTTCAAATTTGCACTTATTTATCAAGAGAATAAATGTGAGAAGCAATAAATAAAAATAATAATATAATAAATGTGTGAATGAAGAAAAGAAAGGGACAAATGCTTCCTTTCCTTTACTGGGAAGGCGCAAATCAATCCTTTCATTTTCTTAAAAATTAAAAAGAATTACTCACTTCCCTCATTAATGTGAGAATTAAATAATTAAAAAAATTGATTAAATTAATTAATTAAAAAATCTATGTTATTTAAAGGACCAAAACTTTTTAGACATATCAAAATAGAATTAAATTTCAAGCATCAAAACTAAAAGTAAAATGAGGTTAAGCTTTTGAGACTAAAAATGATACTACTTATGATTCTTAATATAAAAGCTATTTAAATAGATTAAGAAAAATAATTAAGTTAGCTGTTTGTAACAAGTATGAATTGATTTTCTTAAAGTAACATTTTTAATCATGCTATCATAGGATGAAAGTCCTTTAACATATATAATTAATAAAACTATTTTAAAATATAAATTATAAATTTAAAAAATAAAGTAGATAGAGATATGATACTCCTCCATACCTAAATATAAAATCTATTTTATAGTGTAATTTATATTACAAAAAAAATCTTATATTTAGAACCGAAAAAATACTTATCATAGTTCTTATATTAACAACGAGCTACTATTAATATTTTAATTTAAATTCTCAGAGAACTCAAAAACGAATATTATATTTTGGATTAGATCTCTCTCTAAAAGTGAAGCTTATATATGAGATTAGAGGAAATATTTAATAAGGATAAAAAATTTATTTATTTAATGATCTCTAAAAAACTGCTACAAATGATAATTAGAAAGGACCATGAACTGAGAATTTTATTCACGTTTGATGAGCTGCAGATGAGTTTCTGTTGACTTAAGTGCGGTCTTACCTGAAACAATCTTTGTACTTTTCTTTCTCCTTTCCTTTTTTCCCCCCCAAAAAAGGATTAAGATTAATTAATTATCACCCATATCATGTCTGTCATTTTATAAATTTATCAAAACGTTCGTGTCATTGAACCGAAAAAGAAAAAAAATCGTTCGTGTCATGGTTGCTCAGAGTAGATGTGCGTTTTGGGTTGCTTTATTCATGCGAGGTCCTTTCATCATTAATACACCACTTAATTTGAAAATTAATATTTGTTTTCCATACAAGACCTATTTCACGTGTTTATCAATCTTTTGAAATTAACTATATTGATATTTTCTCAATAATAATTAAGTAAGAGAGAGGGGGAGAAAATTAAAAAGATAATTAGGATGTTTTAGAAAAAACATATCATATTAACTAATTTAACAGATATTTTTAATCTACTCAAATTGGATAATTAGGTTTTATATTAATAATTAGAAGAGTAGTAACTTTGTAACATTACAATGAAATTTATAATTTTGCTATGGTCAGATTAAATCATAGCAATATCATATAGGCCCTTATACCCTGTATACATGCCTGATGGACTCCTGCCCAGATACAAGCAGATGATGTGGGCCGTCAAAGCCCAACAAACTCGGATGAAGAAAAAGAGAAGGGGCAATATGGAAAGAAAAACTAATACTAACTCTTCTGTTTGATATGAGAACTAGAAAACTAGTATACGAATATTAAAAATATTACTCTTTCAGTTCTTAATATAAGATCTAATTGTTGAGTTGATTTTGATTCTAAATATAAGATCTATTTCTCATATTTATTAATTTTTCTTAAATTACCCCTATGGATACTCCTTCAACCAGAATTAAGTGGGAGAGGGAAAATATTAAAAAAGATGATTAATTAACTAACTTATCTAACTTTTTTAATCTAATTAAATTAGTTAAATAGGTCTTAATATCTTATATTAAAAACCGAAGGAATATTTAAATTTTTTATTTGTAGTTAGACAACTATTGCGGCTTTTGGCCCATTTAAGAAATATATAATTTTTTATATTTCTCATCGGTTTTATAAAAAGAAAACAAAAATAAAGTAATAAAATTATTAATAAAAGACATAAATATAAATAAAATTAAGTCAAAAACAGATAACATTATCATATTTAAACATTCATTAACAAACATCTATCAACAAGACAATAGCATTCAAAAGTTTAATCAAGAATACAAATATGCAATAGATAGACACTATCATTAATTATTTAAAATTTCATCATCTCTATCGTTAATTGCTCTTTTCTATGAGCATGCTCTTTTTTAAGGGAAAATTATATTCAGGTCCCACAGAAGATAATTAATTTAAAAAAAGTCCCTAGAAATCCCGAAATGATTCTGAAGTCCCTAGGGGCCTGTGTGTAATTAATTGTAATTGTGAAATTACTTATTTACCCCTATTAATTTTATTATAGCAATTCATTTATAATCTTAACAGTGGCTGTTGACAACCTGAGCAGAAGTGCTTGACAACCTCGGCAGTGCTACTGACAACTCACTCTATGGGATGCCAGGAGCGTTGCCGAGGTTGTTAACCACCTCTCCTCGAGTTGTCAACAACCACCGTTAAGGTTGTAAATGGGTTCAAATTAATAGGGGTAAATAGGTAATTTCACAATTATAATTAATTACACACAGGCCCCTAGGGACTTCAGAATCATTTCGGGATTTCTAGGGACTTTTTTTAAATTAATTATCTTCTGTGGGACCTGAGTGTAATTTTTCCCTTTATTAATGGCAAAAATATCAATTTTTTAAATAGAAATTTTATTTTTAAATTTTATATTCTGGCTATTAATTGAAAAAATTATTGTCTAAAATCAAATAAATCAAACTATTTTACAAACTTTAATTTTAAAATAATAAAATTATATAAAAAATATAAAAAATTATAAGAGGGGTTAAATTTAAACCCGCGGCCTTATAAAGCTAACTCTTTGAAATCTACTTCTCAGTTAAAAGAAAAAATTTTAAGCCATGCTTTCACAATTTTTGGGCTAAGCGTGTCGAAGAGATGGCCGTTTTTCGGCTCTAGTTTTGGAAGCCTGGCCGCTTTTTCGGGAAAAGAATAAAAACAGAGGGAGGGAGATTTTCCGGCGCCGCCAGATATTATCCGGAAACAAATAGCAGAGGCGAGTCTGCACTTCCCAGCCTGGCCCATATAGTTCCACCAAGTTCTTTTCACCATGTCGTGACTCGGTTCTAATTCTTCCTCGGTCCCTCTATTCCTTTCACTGTGGACTCTTGAAATCTCCCATTTGTCTTTGATTTGGGTAAGGTTCGGGTGCGTGAGTCTCCATAATAACGAAAAGCAAAACAGGGGAAAATGGGAAGAATCTTCGTCGTGGAGCTGGAGGGCAGGTCTTACAGGTGCAAGTACTGCAAAACCCACTTGGCCCTAGCCGATGATCTCATCTCTCGGGTATTATTCCTTCTTTATTGGTAACCTCAGACCATTTTTCTGATTGGAAAGTACGATTCTCGGTGCTTGTTAGTGTTTATTAATTTGCTGTCTTTTATGTAATTGGGGCCTGTGAGGTTTGTACAGTGGATGTACAAGCATGGTTTAGTGACAATTAAGCTTTTGAAAACTTCAGCTGTCAGCCTTTACTCTCTTGGATAGCTAATGGGATTGGGGTGTTTTTATACTACTATACTGAAGTCTTATCGCTGGAGAACTGTTCTTGACATTCAGAAACCTTCAAAGCTTGATATGTTATGTTCCGTTATTGGAAGAATTAAAGCTTATGTAGTCGGTTGAACATTTCACTATTCATTGGTGAGGGGAAGTGATTCTCCGCCCTTCATCCTTTTCTGTAACCGCGAATCCATCAGCCAACAGGTTTTTAAATTTGTGAATTTGATTTGATGAGGGCATGTATGTTGTGATGAAGCCTGGACAAAGGATCTGACTTAGCAAGGTGATAAAAAGTTTTAGATACTGAGATGCACTAGCTCTACAAAAATTGGTTGAGTAAATCAATCATTTTTTTTACACTAAACATATTAATATACTTTTTAGTGAGGCATACTTCTGACACGTGTAGCATTTTTATTAGTAATGATTAGATCAATTAATTTTTTCAAAGATTGGATTTTCCTAGAAATTTTGCTCCAAAGTTATTGTTAATCTAACACCTTTTCTAAGGTGTTGATATGTGGATTGATTTCTGCTTCATTTTGTAAACCCAACCGATGGCAACAATTGCATCATGAATCTAACCTGGTCACTGGAGGCCGTCAACTAAGATGGCATCTACTAGAAGAATAATTTATGCCTAACATTATTGTTGAGTTTCTTATGATGCCTTGGCTTGTAAGCTTTTTGCAGAGTGTTCATAGTTTCGCTAGCATTTCTACCTTTTTCCTGACTTTTTTTTTGGAAGTATCCTTTGCTTCTTTCCTTTCCTCAGATGTGATCAAATCATTACTACCATAGCTCCAATCTTAACTATAGCTGGTCCCTTAAAAGACTGTAATTAACGTCAGAAAGCTTCAATAAGAAGAAGCTTGAACCAATGGTGTGCTTAGGCCCAGGAGAAGAAATGCCTGTGTCATGATTAGAAATATTGACTGTTCCAGTGCTGCCAGCTTAGCTTCATTTAGTATTGTTACTTGTATTTATCTTACTGTGATTGGGTGTCTTCATATAATAGGGATAACTACAAAAATGTGAATTACTATAATTTATTATGAAGGTAAATAAGAGATGAATAACTAAATCTATTGCTTCTTATTGCATGCATCATCCTTTTGTTGTTGATTTTGCTTGGTTTCTATTACTATAGTGCTTAAAATGCTCTAATAGATTTTTTTTTTAAAATCTAATTCATTAAGCAAAATTTTGTATCATTATTTTCAGGCTTTTCATTGCCGACGAGGTAAAGCATACCTCTTCAATAATGTGTAAGTACTTTGCACTTCTTACTGGGTATTCTGTTGTGAAAAATAACAGTTATGATAGTGTTTGTGTTGTATCTCGTATGTTAAGTTGTTAACAATACCAGCTTGTCACTAGTGTTTGTGTTTTTTATTTTGTTAACAATGCTTACTGATCCAGCTAAAGCTTTTACTGTGATTCTTATATTTTATTTTATATAATTTGAAACTACTAGTTACCCGATCCATGTAGCTCTCATATTCTGTAAACTCGTTCTTTATTGTGAGTGTTGCATTCATCAGTACACCATGGGCATCTTGAAAATTGAGGTGAGAAAGTGCAACAAGATGAAGGGCACTCTTGTGCATCTACAAATTTTAGATCCTAAGTCTAATTTTGTGAATCTTTTTCTATGCGAGTGCGTGCACTTCCTTTTATAAACCATGACCCAACCCCTTTTGTTGAAGATTACATCTTGTACACGTATATGATCAAGTTATTCTTTATTTAAAATAACCGTTGATGGCGCCATTGTTTGACAGTAATGCTTTTTTCTTTGTGTTCTGTTGACTCTGCCATCTTTATCCCAAGCACTAGACATGATTGTATCAACTGACATCACTTGTTCAAAGCAACAAATTGGATTAAATCTGCTGATGAGTTGTTGAATTTTTTTTGATTACGTGGCATAGAATGGAAGGAACCTGCTAGTAGAAATTTATTGATATCCTAACTTGAAGTGTGATAACGTGGAATTCCTAATATTCCCTTTTCTTTATTTAGTCAAGAGTTTATTGTAAATAACCTTACTCTTGGGGACATTATTATAAAATTCTCTTTAGCACGAGTCCATCACTTGTTAATGTATTCAGAAAAGATTCAATTATCCGGGGCTAATTCTTCCCCTCCTTTTCTCATTTCTTCAGCTCTTTCCTCTTTCTCTCTAACATATTGACAGTTCTGCGCAAATTGAAAGCTTTCTGATAAGTGAACTTGGAATCTTCAATTCGTTGGCCCTGATTGTAATACTCTAATGAGGGGACATCCAGAGAATATGTAACCATATTCAAAAGAATGATGTAAGTAAATGAAGTTTTTCCCTAACCTTTTGTAGACAGTCATGTTGGATTTGCTTACAGTGACTTTATAAGAAATTGATTTCAGGTCTTCTTAAGTGACCGAAATCTGGAAATAGTGGAATCTATGTTATTGGCATAAGTTTGACCATAGCCAAAGTTTAATCAACGATGTGGCTCAGACTTGCTGCTGTTCAAAAAATTATTGAAGATGTGGTGTTCTGTTCTTCCATGCTGGATTATGCAGCCGTTTCCTGAGACAATGTGTCTTTAAACGTTATATCCCAAAATTGCTTAACTCGTAGGTGCATGCCTTGAATAAATATGCGTTTGATATATCTGAGGAAGTAAAGCCGCTAATATTTGTTTCTATGTTCAAAACAGATTGTTTTTTGCGTCGTGTCAGTTGGAATCTATATTGCTCTGTTACAAATTCATTGATTCTTTCTCCTTCACTCAAAAGTTTCTTGCCTCCCATGTTGAATTTACTGTTTTCAAGTTATTATGTTTAGAGGAGGAAGTTCAAGGAATTGTTTCCAGGTTGATTCTTTGTGGTGAATTTTCCATTATTTATTTATTGTGACCGTCTTTCTTTTGTTATGAATAATGTCGCCAACCATTCGTTGTTCTTTCATGTCAACTTTTCTCCTTGATAGATGTGATTGATATTGATTCAGCCCTTGAATTAAAAAATAATGAAGATGCTGTCTTTGCAAGCTGAGTTTTAGTAAAACTGGATGATTATGAGCATGCAGCAATATTTAATATTTGAGAGTTTCTTATATTTGAAAAGTACTATCAGATAATTGCATAACTTCTTGTAAAATTGGACAAGTACGATATTCAATACGGGAACCTTCACACATCCATGTGTTGATAGAGAGAGGGAGGGGGAGAGTTTGAAAGCATGTCCCAAGGCTAACTTTGTGTAGCTCATTATTGCAAAAAAGAAACCGGAAACAATGTTTTATCTTTCTTTAACCTTGCAATAATTGCAAATATTGGATGATTAAGGACTTGTCTGTTTCCTTCATTCTGGGATGAAAATATTGCTTTGTTCTGATTATTTTAAGATGCTAATGTTTTGGGCCTGTGATCTAGAGTGAACATCACAGCTGGAGTACTAGAGGAAAGGATGATGCTTTCAGGATTGCATACGGTGGCAGATATCTTTTGCTGTTGCTGTGGTCAAATAGTTGGCTGGAAATATGTAATTTTCCATTAATTTACCCTTTCGTCTTCTTGCATCTGCAAATAGTGTTAAAGATGAAACTCTTAAAATGCATATTCTGGATAGAAATTTTGTGGTTGTGGTGGATTAGTTTGGTCCGTGGATATGCATGGCCCAACGTAATCCAGGCCATTGGTCTTAAACTCAAGCCCATCCTCCCACATATAGTATTCCCTTTAGGGCCAAGTAGGGCTTGGCCTCTTCCAGGCAAACAAAAATCTATTATTTTACTCTTTCAATTTTGCATTATTGTGTTTGAATATATGTTTTTGGATTAATACAATTTTTGATTCCTTAAGTTTGCATGAATTTTGGTTTAGTCCCTCATTTTAAATCATAAATTTTGGTTCTTTAAAGGGCAAAATGGTCTAGGTGTTTATTAAATTATAGGAACCAATGCTTTAAACGGGAGGAAACTTGAAAGATCAAAACTTGTAATTTGAAACTTGAGATTGTATTAACCCAATATTTTCCTTACTTGCATATCTTATTTAGGTACTACATAATTGTGTTTTCCGAGTCAAATTTGACCTAAATTTTATTTGTTTAAAAGATAATTGGGCCAAGCTCAAAGCTTTAGCCGTGGCTATTACTTGGCTCTTAATGATGGGCTTAGGACCCTAGGCCTTCTAAAAGCTTATTCTGGCCCAACCTGGGTTTGGTAGACGAATGGTTATGGAAGAGAGACATTGAAGTATTTGTCATGCATAAGCTCCCCTTTTTTAGTTGTAGTCGCCTGTCAAAAGACTTTTTAATCCCTTTAATGCTATTGTTCTGCTACAGGAGACTGTGCATGAGAAGAGCCAACAGTATAAAGAGGGGAAGTTTGTTCTTGAGAGGTATCATCCTATTCTTTTTCTTGTTTGCCAAAAAAAGGAAAAAAAAAAAATCATCTTGAGAGGTACCATCCCATTCTTTCGTTTTTCCTCGAGAGGTATCATCCTATTCTATTGACACCTTTGCTAAATATCTTTCTGGACTATACGATGTGGTTTACTGATTGTGTATAATCTTCTTGCTTGTCCATATGACAGAGGAAGGATTGTTGATGAAATTGATATCTCCCCTGAATTCTATATTGACACTCATGCCAGCATGAGTGATGCTGAAGACGCTTAGCATGTTTCGTTCTGGTCATCAAACACTGCTTTTGTATGTGAATAATTATAATAATTGTAATGACTATAATAATAATAATAAGAACAATGGTGTCGCTTTTTCCCCACCCTGATCTAGCATGCTTGCGTTTTACTTTTTTCCTTTTTTTTAATACTGGAGCAGATGAACAGGAGAGACTTCTCCAGTGTGTAAAGCTTCTGGATGGAAATGGATTAAAAGTATCGAACACTTTACTGTAGCAGATGAACTTATGAGCCATATTGCTGAATGTATCCCTAATTCCCATCCTAATGATTTTAGCATTTGATTTCACTTCGGTGAGATTGATCCTTAACAAGAGCATTAAACTCTGACAGTGACAACTTTCTAGTCTCTTCTATGTGAAATTTTTGTTTAGGTGTCATTCACCCTGTTGGTTGCAGCAGCAATGGTTTTCTTGTTAAGTAATTGGAGGAATGACGCTGATATAATATGCTTAATGATCCGGCTTCGCCCTTAAATATTTACTTGAGAAATGTTTCAAGTGAAGTCTTGACTGAGAAGTGAATCACTATATTAGTGTTAGAAGCCCTTGATCTCCTCTCTGATTTTCTCTCCTTATTCTCTCCATTAATTACCCATGATTCTAGCTAGGCAATAAATTCCTGATTTCTTGTGATATTGCAATATCTTTCAATTATTATTTGATTGTAACCGGATGGTATGAGACTCTATAAATTGTACCCACATCATATGAAATAATATGTTAGAGTGAATTTTCAATACTCTTTAAACATGGTATCAGAGCGTGTGAGCCCAGAAAGGGTCCTGGAGAGTCTGCCGTAAGCCAGAGAGAGAGAGACGGCGAGGATAGAGAGAGAGAGAGTGAGGCGTCCTCAAAACTGGAACCAGAAGTGGTTCGTGGACGACACCACCCCTCCAGGCCTCACCGGCATCCCCAGATCGGCGCGTCCCCAGAAGCCGACGTCCAACGGAGCTGCGCGTGACTCTCACGCGCCGTTACAAGCTCCGCGCGTGAAGCCCACGTGCCGCCGCGCCCCGCCACTGTACCAGCGCGTGCCGCCCACGCGTCGCCGCCAGAGACCTCCAGTACCTCCCAGAGACCCAGAAGATGGATAACCCAGAATTCCCACCACTTTTTGGGTCTGTTCGCAATATTCCAAGGGTCCTCATGTCCGGTACATCTTCAAATACTCAAGCTACTTCTTCACCAGTGGTTACTCCTTCTTCAGACTTGACAATAGCCGCTGAACCTCAAGCTATGGGGGTAGCCCACAAACTTAATGGAAGCAATTATCTCCAATGGTCTCAAAGTGTATTAATGTATCTGCGTGGGAAGCGTAAGGAGAAGTATATCAATGGAGAAGCAACACAACCTTCACATAATGATCCCAAATTTGATACCTGGTTCGCTGAAAATAATCAGGTGATGTCTTGGTTGTGCAATTCAATGACTCTCGAAATCAGTGAAGGATACCTTCTTGCAAGCACAGCCAAGGAAATCTGGGATGCTGCTAAGCGGACCTACTCTACCCTCGATAACACTGCAGCCTTATTAGATCTAAAGAGGCAGCTCAAAGATCTGAAACAAGGCAACTTAACTGTAACTCAATACTACAGTACGTTGACAAAGATATGGCAGCAATTGGACCTCTTTGAAGTACATCCTTGGAAGGATATGGATGATGCTAATTACTACAGACAATTGGTGGAGAGAGGAAGAACATATGACTTTCTGTTGGGCCTGAATGATGTTTTTGAAGAAGTGAGGGGGAGAATTATGGGACTGAAGCCGCTGCCATCCCTATTTGAAGTCTTCAGTATGGTTAAGTTCGAAGAAAGCCGAAGACACCTCACTCAAGGTAGCCTGACCGCAGCAGAGGGCTCGGCATTGGTGACGAGGGGGTTCCAGACATCAGAGGGCCCTGAGAAGAAAGGGAACAAGTGGTGCAACCACTGTAACAAGAGAGGCCACACCAGAGATGAATGCTGGAAACTACATGGGAAACCAACTCAAGGGAAACAGAAACAACGGGAAGATAGAAAGAGCCACCACACCTCCTCTGAAGAAAAAGGTGATGATGGAGACCAGTTGACCAGAGAAGAGCTTCAAATGCTTCGTAAGATACTTGAAAAACAAAACAAATCAAAATCTGTTCCCAACGTGAACTTGATACAGTCAGGTAATTCCATTATAGCCCTTAATGCAATGGTAACTAGTGATGAGACTTGGATTATTGACTCCGGTGCTACAGATCACATGACTGGTAATAAGTCCTTCTTCAAAACCCTCAAATATTGCCATGAGAACCTTAGAGTAAAAGTGGCAACTGGACTGTATACTAAAGTTGAGGGTGTTGGCAGTGTGGCTCTATCTGAAGATCTGGAAATCCATAATGTTTTGTTTGTCCCTGCTCTTACTTGCAATCTTATTTCTGTGAGCAAATTAACTAAAGGGAAAGCATGTCGGGTGATATTTGATGATGTTAAATGTGTTTTTCAGGATTCGACCTCGGGGAGGAAGATTTTGACTGCTAAAGAATGGGATGGACTCTACTACTTTGAAGGAAAGGATATGAAGATAGCAGGAGCAAAGAAAGCTATGGTTAGCTCCAACTCTCAGAATAAAAATGTAATGTTGTGGCATCAAAGATTAGGCCACCCCAGCTTTGATTATATGAAGCATGTGTTTCCAACTTTATTCAATAAAAATTCTTCTCCTTTCCAATGTGAAACGTGTCAAATTGCTAAACAAACTCGCGCCTCTTATCCCAAACATACTTACAAACCTTCCACCCCGTTCACAATGATCCATACCGACATTTGGGGACCAGCCAAAACCAACACCCGAACAGGCACAAAATGGTTTATCACATTCATAGATGATCACACCCGGGTCACATGGGTTTACCTTATGAAAGAGAAATCCGAAGCCCTACAAATTTTCAAAAACTTTTACTCGTTTGTGAGAACCCAATTCCAAACTACCATCAAAGTCCTGAGAAGTGACAATGCCAAAGAGTATGTGAGTGGAGCCTTTAGGGAATTTCTTGAGCAGGAGGGAATCCATCACCAAACCTCATGTGTTTATACTCCTCAACAAAATGGAGTTGCTGAGCGAAAGAATAGACACCTTTTGGAAGTAACCCGAGCTATTATGATGGAAAGAAATGTTCCAAATCTGTTTTGGGGAGATGCTGTACTAACCGCAGCTTATCTTATCAACCGCATGGCCTCTAAAATTCTCCACTTTAGTACCCCTATTCAAAAGCTCCTCGAGACTTACCCCACTTCACCTATCATCAATACCATCCCTCAAAAGGTCTTTGGGTGTGTCGTCTTTGTCCATAAACATGATGGAGGCAAACTAGGTGCTAGAGCAGAAAAATGCATTTTCCTCGGATATTCCTCCACCAAAAAGGGGTATAAGTGTTATTGTCCCACCACCAGAAAACTTATAATCTCCAAAGACACAGTCTTTTATGAGGATGATGCTTACTATCCCAAATTACCCATTCAGGGGGAGCACTATGGAGTAGAATGGCTAATTACATCCGAACCTATAACCATACCACCTCAAGACAACATCCCTGAGCCGGAAACGGAACCAAAAACCCCTACTACTATACCTTCTCCAGAACACCAAAACTCCACAAACACCCCTCACCCAATGGAAACCAATGCTGAAATTGATGCAGGGGTGACAGAGCACTCAAGTCCTCAATCAGGTGAACAGGACAGTAGTAGTAGGGTTCCTTCCATTCCAAGGCAGCAACATGATTCCAATCCGGAGTTGGATCCTGAAGAGCTGGGATGGCCTATTGCACTTAGAAAGGGGGTAAGATCGTGTACTCAGCATCCTATTCAAAAATTTGTCTCCTATGGCAATTTATCTGCGAGAATGCAAACTTTTGTAGTGAATAGCTCACAGGTGAAAATTCCAGAAACATTTCAACAGGCTGTAACAGATCCTAATTGGAAACATGCTGCATATGAGGAGTTGAGAGCCTTGAAGGAGAATAACACGTGGGATATCACCACACTTCCTAAGGGCAAGAAAGCAGTGGGTTGCAGGTGGATCTTCACCCCTAAATTCAATCCTGATGGTAGCATCAACAAGTACAAAGGAAGATTAGTTGCCAAAGGGTACACCCAAACCTATGGGATTGATTATCAAGAAACGTTTGCTCCTGTGGCAAAGTTCAACACCATCCAGGTACTCCTGTCTCTAGCTGCCAACCTTGATTGGCCCCTACATCAGCTAGATGTGAAGAATGCTTTCCTAAACGGAGATTTGGAGGAGGAAGTGTACATGGAAATTCCAGATGGAGTAATAGCTCCACCCAACTCAGTTTGCAAATTGAAGAAATCATTATATGGCTTGAAACAATCTCCACGAGCATGGTTCGACAGGTTTGCCAAAGCGATCAAAAGGTTTGGCTACATTCAAGGACAAGCTGATCACACTCTTTTCGTCAAACACAGTGATGGAAAGGTAACGATCCTAATTGTGTATGTGGATGATATAGTCATAACTGGCAGTGATGAGGTTTCTATCTCCCATCTCAAGAAAGCCCTAGCTAGGGAATTCCAAGTGAAGGACCTAGGCCAAATGAAGTACTTTCTTGGAATGGAGGTTGCTAGATCCAAAAAGGGTATAAGTGTGTCCCAACGAAAGTACACACTGGACTTACTCCACGAAACAGGAATACTTGGGGCTAAACCTAGTGAGACTCCTATGGAAGAGTCATGCAATCTGGAAGTGAAACCAAAAGGGACACCAGTTAACTCAGAAAGGTACAGAAGACTTGTGGGCAAACTAATCTACTTGACTCATACAAGGCCTGACATTAGCTATGCAGTTGGAGTGGTAAGCCAATTTATGCATCAACCCCAGGAAGAACACATGGAAGCAGTATACAGAATCCTCACCTACCTCAAACTCAACCCTGGAAGAGGACTATTCTTTAAAAAGGGGAGTACAAGGAGCATAGAGGTCTACACTGATGCAGATCATGGGAGAGCTGTGGACAACAGAAGATCTGTCACAGGATACTGTACTTATGTTTGGGGAAACTTAGTCACTTGGCGAAGCAAGAAACAGACAGTAGTCTCAAGAAGCAGTGCTGAGGCTGAGCTAAGAGCTGTAGCCCTGGGGGTATGTGAAGGAATGTGGGTGATTAGACTTCTGAAGGAATTGAGAATTTCCTATGAAGGACCTATGAATCTCTGGTGTGACAATCAAGCCAGCATTGAAATGACCAAGAACCCTGTGTATCACGACCGAACAA